ACGATTACTGAATCGAATGCTGCAGTCACGTCGATTAGAGTAAGAACTGAGATATTTTAATCATCTATAGTTGCAAACAACTCTGACGCAACATCAATCAATGCAAACTCAGTCGAGGAAATCTTTTGAAACCCGATTTTTTTTATTCTTTAAAAAATCAGGATCTGACAGAGGCAGAAACTGTTACAGCATGCAAGGCAATAGTATAAAATGGTGACAAAAAATGAATGAATAAATAAATGACGGAGAAAAAAATGTTTAAACGTGAAAAATATTGAAAATAAAATAAAATAATGGTATAAAAGGGCAAATAAATAAAGTAATTCATTAATGGACTGAATAATGACTTTTTGGGTTAGTGAGTAGAGTCCTGTGCGGTTTGCGGTTATTTACGGCGTGGTTAATTATCGATTATTTTATAAAAATGTCCGAGGTAAAAAATGTTGAAGTTGATCCACAGGTAGATGTAATTGATAATGAATTTTTGATTAAATTGATGCTGTCCAAAAGTTTAGAGTGTTTCGTCAGAAAGGATAGGATCATCTCTCAATTATACACTGCAAAAGAGACGGTCCAGTTTAAATCCATACAAAATTGACAAAATGTTATTTATTAAGAGTAACAGTGATTTGGATGTGGATAGTTGTGATTTATAATGTCAATAAAAGCATTAATGTTGTTTTTCATTTTTTGCGGTGCGGTTGCGGTTTTCGGCGGTGCGGTTGCGGTTTTCGACGCTGCGGTTGCGGTGCGGTTGCGGTTTCAAATGTTGCGGTTTTTTGCGGTTGCGGTTTTTGAAAATTCCAACCGCGCAGGGCTCTATTAGTGAGGGGATCGTTAAGTAAAAGGAAAACTAGATTGAGTAAATGTTAAAGCTTTATTGAGTGCTAATATACATAAGATGTCTTGTGATAAAGGTCTTTTCCTGATATGTTAATGGAGTGGCGACTTGATAGTTATGCTTGCGTTGACGAAAGTTGTGTGTAGTAGTTTTGATATTTAGGTAGATATTCGGGTAAAAAGTTGTGTTGATTGAAATAATGCCGAAGCTGTTTTCGAACGATTTGCTCAATAACTTTAGATAAAGATGGCAGATTTAACACCTGTGTATAATTTGTTAACGTATTTTTATCTAGAGTCTCTTTCATAAATAACGGAGTGACTATTGCTAATTTTAACGACCTCGAAAAATAACCAAATGCTAGACATAAGTTGATGAAAAATGTTGGAAACGGAAGAAACAAATCAACGTACTTTTGAAACAGTTTTGCGTAGACAGTCGAGCAAACAAGATTTCATTGGTGAATTAAGAACAATTTTGCGAATCTCATCAAAAGAGCATTGTTGAAAATAAGAAAACAATATTTCATTATCGAGATGCGCCGGTTGAATTTTTAGTTCATTGGCATGCTTCGTTGTTTTAAAAATTGTGTCTACTTTTTTTAAAAAAAACTGCGAAAAGTCATCTACATATCCGGTGAATTTGATGAATTGGTTGTGCATAAAACCTTACTGATTGTCCCCCAAAGCGCCCTGGGGTTAGATCGATTGGAATCGATTAAACATCTTCAGTAATTTTTACTTTTTGGAAAAAGCAAAATATTCTTTTTATTGACAGACTCAAAAAATTTTTTAATTAATGGCGTTTAGATCACGATGGTACCTTCTTCCACCTCTTCTGTATGATTTCATAGAAAACCTACATTCATCATCAAACCATGGTGAAGCTGGCATATTTCTGGAGGTTACCAAGTGCTGTGGAGCAACAATGTCTATTATAGCTTTGATTTCTTTCTCAAACAATTTGATCAAAAACTCTGGATAAGACGAGTCAAACGGTCCACAGATTGACAAGTTTTGTATTAAAGTGGCGAACTGATTATAGTCCACACAATTCCATGAACGAAGCAGTTTTTTCTAACCACCGGCAACTTGAACACCAAAGGAAAATTAACTTGAACCAAATCCAAGGTAACACCATAAACATGAGAGGGTTCTTCAACTCTACTACGCATATTAAATAGTTCAAAGATTTCCCGAAGGTTGACAGCATGATCATCATCCGTTCTTTCAACGTGTACATTCAAATCTCCAGCCTGTATCACAAAATCAGCACCTAACGATACCTGTTCCAACATGATTTCGATTTAGAAAATGTTTCAAGTGATTGGGTGGTAGGAATTTATAAAATGTTTCAATGTTGAACGGAGGAACAACATTTGCGGCTGACGATCTTTATTTACTCTAAAAGGGATCAAAATTTTTTCGATTACTAGATTTGAAGATTTTGTTTGGAAAATATAGTTCATATGTATTTTTCGTTATTTAAAAAATTTTTTTTTAATGTTTGTGCTTTAATTGTCTTCCTCTCTTTAGCAAATGGGTCATGCAGCAAAGTAATATTTTTCGCGTGGACGACCGGCAGGAATATTTCGCCATGAAGAACAAACATTTCAAACTTCGCTTCAGTTCTTGTACCGGATCTCTCCATGTACGACATTTTTGTTTGTTTTTTTCAAGTCCCAATCAACTTATTTCATTATTTTCAGTCTCTCATGTTTGATGGGAATGCTGTGAAAACAACTATTGATTTTTCTGTATACAGAACTGGTTTGTGGTTCAAACCTTTTCAAGATAAAAGTGGTGCATATATATTTCTGCCCAATGGAAAATCAGAAGTATGAATTAATTTATATATAATTTATCGAAACAATGGCCTCACAATGCCAGCAACGTATTTTTATTGTAGCTTGGTTAAGCGGTTCCAAATTCCTAAAAGTATTATTATTAGTTTACTTCAATAATTGAAAAAATAATTGCAAAAGTCTGGACTTGAAAAATAAGATTTAAACATTTGATGACACCTAATCTTTCAAAAAACATATTATTGACAGAATAAATATGCAGTTGAAATTAAACTCTATGATTTATGAGAGTTTTTTTTATAGGGCATCTAATACATATCCATTATTGTATGTAGAACATAAATTAATTTTAGCAATGGCGCGGCTGGCATATTTTGCATGCATCATAATGTTAATGATGATAAACGAAATGTTTATAATGGTAAACAAAGTTGATAGTTTATTTTAATTTTTTGGTAATGAAGGTTTTTGTATTCAATATTTTACATTAATTACTGATATTATCATTGCTTATTAAACAATTAAAATATTGTTGAATTTTCGTATACTTTACGAAAAGTCATGTTTAAAAATTTATTTTATTCACTCGCGAAAAATCATATTTAAGAATTTATTTCATTCACCACCACATGGCTGGCTATTCCATATTAACTAGTCTGCCGGACCTTTGTTACTACATTGACAGGATATATACAGACGCAACGTTCAATCTGTCTTCATGAGGGGTCACTTGGAATCCTCAGTAACAACATGGTTTTCTCATTTGTCAACCACTGTTAATATCTATCACAGCAAAAGTAGGAAATTTTAGCTCAATAATTTTAAAAATTTGTGATAAATGTTTTGTTAATAAATTTTGATTTACCGACCGACGCTTCATCGTAAACCTTCCTGAGACTTTGTTTGAAACATTTTTCTTCATTGGCAATTGTTAGTACTGAACGCGTTGTAGAATTTATTTTAGGTCATGATCTGAAGGGTTTTTGTTTTAGACTGTCCATCTGTCTGTTTCTTACCTACCTCGTTAGTTTTTAAAAGTTGTTGCGAATTTGAGTTCTTTAGAACACAAAGTTTAGTACAGCATGTATGTTTCTAATTAAAACAAAACTTTTTCTGCTTCTTTGAGAAAGAATGTGCATGTTTTGTTTTTTCAGAAAAGGAAGAGTATTTTCAAATAATTTTTAAAAACTTTTTAACCGTGTGAGCGTGGGAGTTTTTTATCTTCTATATACAGCGGTGAATTAATAAATAAATTACTTTCTCTGTCTCATTTTGCTTTTAAAAAGCATTGCACGTTTTTTCAATTTGTTCACCATAATAAAATAACATGTGAACAAACATAAGACCTAAAGGAAAAAAAAGTTTTTTAAAATGTTTTTTGACTTAGAAGATAGAAATAATTGTAAACTTTTTAGAATAGATAATGTAATAATTTAATTACTAAACAAGGATGGATTTAAAGCAGTTATAACTCTTCACAATTAAAAAAAAACATGGGGTTCGACAAATTACTTTCTGTAGTAATCCCACGTTTTTTTAATTTCAAAAGGTTTTTGTAACCTATTTATAAATTTTTTTATTATTTGTCATTGTTTGTCAAGTTTGTCAATCTCACAAATGACATTATCAAAGCATCTGGTACTGCAGGTATCCAAACGTTACTACAACTTTGCCGTGAAATTTGGAGAAATTGCTCAATGCCGAATGAATGGAACTATAGCATGACAGTCCCGCTATACAAAGGCAAAGGTGATCCATTGAACTGTTCGTCATATCGGGGTATACGTCCGCTAGAACACTACCTGAAAATTTTCGAGAAAATCATTGAGAGAAGATTAACGTCGGGCATCACAATCGGAAATTATCAATTTGGTTTCCTATCGGGGAAATCAACAATCGATGCAATTCACATCCTTCGGCAACTGCAAGAGAAGTACCTCGCAAAGCATCAACAACTATCACACATTTTTGTAAACCTTGAAAAAGCATTTGATCGAGTTCACCGTGAAGCAATCAGGTGGAGTCTACGTCGACAACTCATTCCAGAATATCTTGTTCGACTTGTCATGGAAATGTATACGAATACTAAGACTCTTGTCAGCACAACGGTTGGAAACACAGAGGCATTTGACATCGGCGTTGGAGTTCACCAAGGCTCGATTCTCAGTCCACTGTTATTTATAACTGTTATGGAAGAAATCACAAAACCGATACGCACTAGTGACATTTGGAATCTAGTATATGCTGATGACATCGTTTTAACAGCCACGTCTGAGCAGAATGCAGCACAGATGTTTAAAGATTGGAACACCAGACTCGCCGATCATGGATTCAAAGTCAACATCAGCAAAACCAAAGCAATTAACACTGGTAAACCCATCCAATCCACAGCTACTGGACGATAGCCCTGTTCAGTTTGTAAAGCTGGTGTAGGTAACAATTCAATCAAGTGTCAGCAGTGTAACCAGTGGTGTCACAAACGTTGTTCAAAAATAATTGGTATTTTATCTAAAGTGTCCAATTTTGTTTGTCCTGCTTGCATCAATCCACAACAACAAATTCGAAGTAGCACTGTTTTTGAAACCATTAAAATAAAGAAAGTCACTTCGTTTCAATATCTAGGGGATGTCCTGGATTGTACTGGAACAGCTGAAGCTGCCGTTCGAGCACTCATACGTGCAGCCTGGAATAAATGGCATCTCCTTGCCTCTATATTGATGCGGCGTGACATCCCACTACCACTACGATCAAGACTTTATAAATCTGTAATACGTCCGGTGTTGTTATATGGTGCAGAAACATGATCAATGACAACCAAACTGGAACAACAACTTCAACAAACCGACAAGAAAATGCTCCGATGGATGCAACGAATTAGTCTGAAGGACCACATCAAATCTACCGAAATTCTTCGTCGTGCTGGTTTAGATGATATAAAGGACGAATGCCGGCAACACCGTCTACGGTGGTTTGGTCATGTCAAACGAAGTGGAAACAGTGCCATAACTTCTCTTGCAGATGTTGAAGTACCTGGCACACGTCCCAAAGGCCGTCCAAAGAAGTCCTGGTCGCAAACAATCGAGCAAGACATGAAAGCTTTAAATTTAAATGAAATGGATACAACTGATCGTCTAATTTGGCGCAAAAAGTTGATGGCAAATAAAACAACGTCCTACCTCGGGAAACCGGGTCTCTGGACGCTAAACGAAGATTGATTACTAATTAAATTATTAGTTTCTCGAAAAATATCAAATTTTCTCTATATATCAATGTGCAGGTATCAAGGGAAGATGCACGTTAGATCACTTGATATCACTTGAAACTCACATAAGACAAGCTTTAATACAGGGTGAACAAGTAATAACTCTGTTCTTGGACATTGAAAAAGCCTATGACACAGCTTGGAAATATGGTATTCAAAAAAAAAATACATAAATCCGGATTAATAAGACGTTTTTCCAAATTCATTCAAAGTTTTTAATCAAATCGGTCATTTAAAGTCAAGGTCAATTTTGTCCTTTCAGAAACGATGCATCCATAGTTATGTATCTAGGCAGCATTTTGTCGCCAAAGTTATTCCGTCTTAGCTTAGATAATATCACCAAAATAATTCCTAAAAACACGATGATATGCCTTAACATGGATGATGTCACAATCACTTTTAAAAATAAAGACATGATAAAAAGGCAGAATAAAGCAAACAGAACGCTAAAATCCATTGAAAATTAGGCATTGGAAAATTGAATAAAATTTTCTGAATCAAAGTCTAGAACTATGTTTTTCTCAAGAATTTTCCAAAGTTAAATTTTCCAAAGATTTTTCCAAAGTTAAATTTTCAAGGAAATAATCTTGAGTTCTCACAAGAATACAAATATTTAGGAATAATATTTGATTCAAAATTAAATTTCATTTCCCATATTTTGGAAACGAAAAAAATGCCTAAAAGCACTCAATTTAATCAAAGTGTTATCCCAAATTAAATGGGGAGCAGACCAAAAGCATCTGAAAACAATTTTCCAACCAACTATACGAGCAGTATTGGGTTATGTTTCTCCAGTATATGGCTTTACACAAAAATCCTACATGAAGATTCTACACCCAATAGTCAACGAATCGTTAAGAAGGTGTCTATGAGCATGCAGAACATCACCTTCCATAAGTCTCCATGTTTTGGCGGGAGAAATGCCATTAAATTTAAGACACCAAAAATTAGCCTTAAATTACTTTCTAAAAATTAAATCTTAGATGAAAAACCCGGTATATAAATAAATAAAAGCAGAAACTAAGGCAACAAAATCAATTCCAACATTTCCAATAAGACTAAAATGAATTCATCAAAGACATTAGAAATATAAAGACCATGAAAGAATTAAAGTTTGAATTTCCTCCTTGGTTACTAAAGCACCCAGAAATTGATACGTCAATAACAGGAATGGGCAAAGACGTAAAACTAGCAAAAACCTTAGGTAAAGAAAAAATTAATAATTTAAACTTTATTCAAATATATACGGATGGATCAAAAAGGGAATATTCAACGTCTGCAGCAATGGTGGCCTACTGGCAAAGAAAACGTGTTCATGGATTAATGATGCACCTACCAGGAGCTGCTTCAATATACACCGCAGAGATCCTTGCTATGAACATGGCTTTAAACTTTATTATTAATTCAGAAAAAATAAAATTATAATATTTTTGGATTCCTTGTCTACTCTATCAGCCTTGAAACAATACAAACCCCTTAATCCATTAATAATTCAAATGCAAAATAAGATTCATAATATCCTGGATGGCAACAAAAATTTAATTATAATGTAGATGCCTAGCCACATTAGAATTGAAAAAAATGAAAAGGTAGATCAGATGGCTTCTCAAGCTCATTCGATGCCATTATCTAGAGTTCCAATTTCGTCCAGTGATTTAAAGAATTTAACAACCTTATTGTTGAAAAATGGCAGCAGGAGTGGAATAAAACATCAAATTTTTTTAAATTAAGTATGCTATTAGTAAATAACAAACAATTCAAAAATAGATTTTTAAATCGTCATCTTCAGTCTTTTATCAATATATTAGAAATAGGACACTCAGCAATCACACATTCCTGGATCCTCAACAAAACAAAGACACCTTATTGTGAAGCCTGCGACAAAAAACTATCTATTTAGCATATATTAACTGAATGTAAAAAATATGATCAGATCAGAAGAAAACTCTGGGTTTCATCAAATGTATAATCAGTTTCTATTGATCCAATGGCCTAAAAATAGCTGCATTGTGCTGAAACGCCGTTAAGGTGAAAAAAATTAAATTATGAATTTTTAATCTATAAAATTTAAAATCATTTCCATCTTATAAATTCAAAAAAAACTTGTAAAAGATTTTGTTAAATATTAAAATTACAAGAAATAATTTTTTGATATGTCGCATGCAGTGTGAAATCTAGTTCAACTAAGTTGAAGTATAAGTTGCAATACCTATTTCATTTTCTTCTGTAATATTTTTATGCTGTCAGTTGTTGGGGGATTCAAAAAGTAAGTTGAAATGGTTTTCGACTTTTATTGTCTGTCATAATAGTAGCAGAATAAAAATAGTTCGGAAAGAAATTTCACATAGGTTCCAACAGGAATAAATGGCTAACTTCTTGTCGGCAAATTTCATGAAGTATTAGATTCTCTTTTTTCAAAAACTATAGTGTGAAATACGAAAAATGAATAAAAGTTATGAATAAATTTAAAAAGTTAATCAAAAACTTTTGAAACTTCGTTTCAATCAGTAATATGAAACCATCATGAACTGCCACTTGAAACCATCATGAACTGCCATATGAAAGACTGCATGCTGACATTTTTATTGCTTTGTGATCTGTAAAAACAAATTAATTGATAAATTTAAATGTTAAAAATTTAACCGATGATTGAAATGTCTTAATGAATGTTTTTAAATGAATAACTTTCATGATTCTAACATTGTCCCATGATTATTTTGCATTTTGCTAGATGATATTATTTCCAACTACATCTCACTTCGAAATCACATTGATATAAGAAATGAGAGTAACTATGAGTTGGCATTAAAAATAAAAACTTCCATTTTAAATGACAATTTTTGGACAGATCTGAATGGTTTCAAAGCAAGTAAAGTGCAGTTGATATAAGTATAATAATCTTCAATTTTAATAATTTTTTATTTGAAGGCGCATAAAAGAAGATGCAGAAATAAATATCCTATTTCGGGGAATTTTTATCCTATTACAAATTTTATTTTTATAGAAGATAATTTTTATAGAGTTACCTTGATATCAAATATGGGACATGCTGCATCAAGTCTTAATTTGGGTATTTCATTTTGTTACATCTTATTTTTAATAGTAAGAAACACAAAATGGTTTTCAATATTGTTATTTTTCGGACTCGTTACCAAATAACTATCGCTAAGATCGCCGAAGAATAAAAATGTTATTTATCAAAGATAAGAGGACCGGGAATAACCTAAAGATCATAAAAAAATAACAGTAGATTGTAAAACTATGTGAAACGGTCTGGTTACAAAATTACTGTAGTCCTGTTCGTCCAGCACAGGTTCAGTGATACTGTCGACGTGGAAAGCAGCCAACTCGACCAAGCTAACAATCTGCATTATTGCTTTTGGTTTTTTATGTTCCTGGATACGATACTCAAGGTAATTTAGTCTGGTGATGATTTGGTAAGGTTTCTCCCAAAATGCTATTTGTTGTTTATCTCACTTCTGCTGTTTGTTTTGCTACTTTTTTTCAGCACAAAGTCTTTTTTAACTTGGTACGCTTCATTTCTATCTTTGACGCTTGTTTTCCCGACTCAAATGTCAAAGTATACATTTTGCATCTCCGCCATCAATAGGTTTTGTTAGAGTTTCAGGTCTCGGAAATGTCACTTGTCGGGCTTGTCATAATTGTCAAATAAGTTTGTCTTTGATAGCTTATAAAATGAACATGCATTGATTGCACAGATAAAATTGCCCTTTTTTATGTTGTCAAATCAAAGTTCAATCCATGCCTAGGTTCGGCGGTAAGTGTAGCAGAGAGTTAAGTGTGACTGTCATAAAATGGAGTAAGTTTTTGAACGTTTATTGGCTCCTATGTACTGGATAAATTATCTCATTGAAATTTGAAAATCACTTTTTAAAAAGGGGGAAAATTATTGAAATAATATTGAACGTAATATATGTAAATCAAAAATGTTTTATAAGTTAAGTTTTTAAGTAAAAATTAAAAAGTTCATTAGCTTCAAAATTAAATAATGTGCAGTTTTGTAATTTTTTTCTGTTTTCTTCAACAAAAAAGAAAGTATCAACTTTGCAACAATCGTTTGCAGACTGTCAAGAATTTGCCCACTAAAATATATCTGCTTGGTATCGGGGAATTTTTCAAAAAAAAATTTTGATGACTATTGTTTTAATGTGGTCAAAATTACACTGACGACTTTCTTTTCTGTTTTTTTTTGCCTCCATTTTTGTTCAAAACAGTACTTTTTCCGCTAAAACAATGTTTGTTAACGACTTTTAATACGAATATGGATCACAACGGGGTGGGCACTGTTCCCCCAGCGCCAACAGATCCGCCACTGATTGCTGGTGATCAGTTTCTAAATAAATGCATAAATGATGACATCGTTTCAATTCTAAAAAATGACTGTAGCAGATAAAATAGAAAGAAGTAACTTCAAATATGTTTTAATTTGTTTTTCTGCAAAAATATGATTTTTTATTATTAACCTTGATATTAATGATTACATTCATCTGAGACAGCGTTATTGGAAATAATTTCTTTTCTACTTGATGTGAATAGAGCATTTTATGTGTTATGATTTTTTTTATTTGTTAGAATAACCAAACGGTAGTTATAATATGAAATGCACAGTCGAATTATGGCTTAAAATTTTATTGTTTCGGTAAATCAATGCCATGCATGATCTTAAAATATTTATATGACTGAATTGTGCTGATAATCATAATATACGACTGAATGAGACTGAATAATATATATAAGATGATGTTGAGATAATGTTGATGATCATTTCAATGAAACAAATGATGTCTCCTCGAGAATTTTAATTTAAAAATACTAAATCAAAAGTTAGCATGAAATACTGCTTTTAGTAAAAAAAAGTCCTGATAAATTTGAGATGCTTCTCAACAGGTTGTTTAGTTGAAATTAAGTTTGATTTGTTTTGGTTATTTTTTACAATATTTCAAAAAAGTTTCAATACGTTTATATTTACGACATATTTAGGGGAGATAGAAGTTATGCTGGATCGGCGAGTTGATCAGGATGACTGGAGAGGTCTGAACGAAGGAGTCACGGACAATCACGAAATGGATGTAAATTTCAAGCTAGTTTTTGAAAAACTACCCCGTAAAACAAGCAAAGTAAACAACTTTTTACTTTTTCACACGTTGGTTGACGAGTTATCTAAATCGCTAGAAATGCCACGTCTCCCGCCGTTGTTACGTGATGGCCCGGTTCGAATACTCTCTGCTCGAAACTCAAAGTCCATCATACGCCATGCGGTCGTTGCGCGGAAATACTTTATTATTATTTTTATTATTATTATTATTATTATTAAAGATCATTTATTAAGCGCCAGAAGTTTCTTGTTAAATCAAATATTGTTAAATCAGATGAATAAAAAATAAACACAAAAATACTAAAGCTCAAGCAAATAAGATTTTAAAAGTTTTTCAAACATAGATAAGCTCAATTCAATATTTCTTAAAGTTCATTCAACATTCGACAAGAATATCTAATCCATCTCACGCATTTGTTATTGGTCAAAAAATAAAGCGCTTGTGTGGTTTTGTTAAAGAAAATTATAAATGAAAATTAATTTTGAAAAATAAATATTTAAAAAAGTATTTAAATTAAAAATGGAAAATAATATATCTATGGTTCCTTCTTAATTGCACTCAAACTCTCCCTCCCATAAAGGCTCCACGTACACACACGCATCTCATCCATCACACGCACGAAGCATATGATGATTTTCGAGATTTTGCAGACATCATTGGCATTCGGTCTCTCCTGCCTACCGTACAAAAACTCGTCAACCAACAAATTAAAGTTTCACTTGTTCAAAAAATAGAAATAGCCGGGTAACATAGGGACAGAACTTTGATGTCGTTTCTTCGCACACTTTTTTTGCTTTCTAAATCGTTTTATCAAATCGTCGGTGTGCGTTTATAGTTCAACAATGATCTTTCTAATCTGTGCTTATTTTTATATTTGATGAAATTAAATCTTAAGAATCCAAAGTTTCCTTCACTTTTTATCAACGATCTAACACTTTCTACGAACCATCCTCTCTTCGTATTCAATAAAAAGTTGAATTATATCGAGCAACAAACTGGGATGTATAGTTTGCCGAATTGTATTCACATCGTGTCGTCAAAATTATTTTCTATTGATTCAAAGAATAGGACTGCAAAAATTCTCGTTACATTATTTTACAATGGTGTTGATTCATGGCTCCCTAATTACGATGGACATCCTTGCCGTTATAAAACTCAGAAAGTTAATTTTAGCCTTCTTAGTAACTTTCGTTTGCATTCGTTTGTCTCTTGTCAATTCAAACACATCGATGATGTTCATAAATTTTTTATGTAAATGAAGTTTATATGTAATTTTGATTTATGAATATTGACCTAAGGTTTTTCTCAAGAACGTATTTGGCTCTCAAAATATTTTACGCGTTTTTGAATCCAACTTGACTGGTACAAACGCAACAGTTGAAATTGAGCAGGATTTTGTCACAATTAATCAGTCCGAGGTAAAGAGTTTTATGGTTTTAGCCACATAAAAATAATGAAAAGGAAGACACGGAACTCGAATGGCTTTTCAAAGTTCGAGAAGTACCAACTAGTGAGCTATCAGACAATAATAATTATTAATTAATTGTTTATTTATTTGTTTGTTTTCTTGCTTGCTTGTTTGTTCGCTTGCTTGCTTGCTTGCTATATTGTTTGATGGTTTGTATGCTTGCTTGTTGGTTTGCTAGTTTTTACGCTTGTTTATATGCTTTGTTTTTTTTATTTGTTTGTTCATTTGCTTCTATTTATTTGTTCATTTGCTTTTGATTATTTATTTGTTTTCTTCTTTGTTTCTTTTTTGCTTTTACTTATTTGTTTATTTTTGTTTGTTTGTTTGTTTGTTTGTTTGTTGCTCATTTATATACTTTGAACAGTTTCATTTTTATAACTTTTTATAACACTATTATATTTTTGTTTACCGATTAAATTATATTTGATCATTGAGTTTAAAATTACTTCATTCTTATGTTCAACAAAACTTAGTAAAAGATTGTTGAAAATGTATAATCAAAAACAATGGTACCCACAAAAGATTTTTTACTTCAGTTAATCGCAAGGTAAATCGCAGCATCATCTGAAGATGAAATGCGCTGTTTCTGATTACCAACTTATGCCAGTTTTTGCAGATTTTCGGCTTTGTGAATTTTAAAATGAACGTGTTAATTTTTTTTATTTGATTAATTTAAATTCAAAACTCAACAACCTACGTTCAAATGAGGGTGAAACATTTCTTTCGTTAGTTGCCATCAAAGTGTCGGCGTCGGTTTACAAATGTTCGACTCCTACCCTGACCTCTCTAAAAATTCCGACTTTGCTACCGAGCAAAAATTAACGACTCGTTTCCGATTCCCAAAAACTTTTTTAATTTTTGCTTCATAATTCAGCTTAAATATCACAACTAAGTGAAAGTATCTTTAAAAACTTTTAAAACCGGTCAAGTAATTGTTTTTCATAGTAAAATTACGTTATAGTTATGTTTTAAAGCATGCTGAAAAAACTAGTGATTTTATTCCCGTTATTAGCATTTATTTTCAGTGTTAAAGCTGGTTGCATTTTCCTATGCATATTTATCTTTTAAAACAAACAAAGAAGAAGAATAAAAGAAACACGATTTTTCAAAAATATTTTCAGAATAAATAATTTCTTAAAAATTCATAACTCAATGCTTTCCGGAGTCGGGTGGAAAATATTCCTAAAAAAATTTCGACTCTGGTTGCCATCGTCCCATCATTTGTTTCCAAAAGTATGCAAGGTTTCTATGTGAATTTATTATTTAAAAGTGATGGAACAAAAGAAAATTTTTTCTCATCTGCCCAATTATTATTTTCTTAGAAATTGTTAGTTTTGTTCAAGTTTATCGAAACATTAACCTATTTGTCATATCAACTTGAAGAAATTACTCCTGGTGTCAGCGACTTCAATCAATCCATAAACATTGTTCATCCATCTACATTATATAATGAATGTGTAATGTCAACACTGCTCTTGTTTTGCAGTAGCTACAATTTATAATAATTCTATTCTTCCTGAAAAATACCTACAATCTTGAATGCCATCGGCGCAACTTTAAAATTCCGTATAAAGTTGAAATTCAATATTCACTTAACTTAAAAGCGTTAAAAACACCAAAACGAAATAACGTCAAAGAATCCCTATGGTTTTGTCTTCTTTCTTTATCCATTTTTATTTGTTTGACTCATTTATATATTTTATATAATTTTATTTGTCATGGCCCATCTCATATGGAAGTAGAAAAATTGACAGAAATGGAATGTGATATCAAAAGAAGGATAGCTATGGCGAAAGATCCATATTCTAGAATGAAAAACATCCTCACCAACAGTAAAATCAGAATATAAACAAAATTAAAACTGTTAGGGTGTTACATTTTTCTGTGCTAACTTACGGCTGTAAGCCCTAGACAATTTTTAAAGAAATGGATAAAAAAATTAACGCTGCTGAGATGTGGTTTTTGAGAAGAATTACGAAAATTAGTTGAACTTCTCATACTTCGAATGATGATGTATTAAAACAGTCCGGTTATGAAAAGAGGAAATTACTACAGATAATTCAACGGGGGAAAGTTAAAGTTTTTTGGTCACATCATGCGGAAGTAAAAAATGGAAAATCTAAAAATTACTGGAAACATTGCAGGGAGAAGAGATTGTGGTCAACAACGAATAATATTCGTGAAGTCCTTGTGTCACTTGTTGAATATCATCACATTTCAACTACTACAAAGTGTTGAAGATCAGGTTTTGTGAGGTTGATGGTCACCAATGTCTTTAAAGGATAAGACACGAGAAAGAAGAAGACACGATAATTCGAAACTAGTATATAGTAACACAAATAAAACCTTATTCAAATTATTCTGAAAAAATAAATATATTGAAACTATTTTATTCAAATTATTCTGCAGGTTCACGATAAAAAATCTCAAAATTTGTTAAATGTCTTATTAACAAGTGTCAGTGAGGAATGGACGACAAAATCTTTTAATAAGTTTTTAATAAAACGTAGTTATAAATGTAGTGTACAAAACCATAGGGATTCTTGGACGTTGTCTCGTTTCGGTGTTTTTAACGCTTTTAAGTTTAGTGAATATTTGATGTCAACTTCATCTGGAATTTAAAGTTGCACCGATTTTTTCAGAAAGAATAGAACTATTATAAATTGTATCTACTGCGAAACAAGAGCGACATTGACGTTACACATTCGTTATATATTGTAGATGGATGAACGATGTTTATGATGGGTTGATTGATGACGCTGACACCAGGAATTATATATAGTGAACAATGAAAATTTGGCTTTAGCAACAGCTACTTTTTGTCAAAATTTTTAAATTTAAAATTAGTTTAACAAGCACCTTTCAGAATTCTGTCGTTTTGCGAGGTCTATAAAAAATTTAAGTGCCAAATCGTTAGAAAATACAAAGGAAAACTTTTTTATTTCAGTGAATTTTTAGAACGTAGTCTAATTTATCAGAGTTTAATATTTTTGCAATTTCACAACATTAGGCTTTACTGTGTTGGTCAACGATCACTCGGTCAAATCTTCTGAGTTGCAAGACACCTTAATGATTTAACATATTATGATTTGAGTAAAAAAGCAGTTTTTATTATTTTATGTAAAATCAAATAAAGCAATTGTAATTAAATATTATATGTACAGCAAACTGAGACCAACTTGCATAAAATTTATAGAGTGCGAACAACACGAAGATGAGACCAATAATGGTTCCAGCCAGTAAAACGGTCATAAATGTCATTTCCGGACCGAAAATCAATTTTTCAAAAGATTTCATACTTTGAGTGGCTATAAATAAATAAATTAATTAATCGTTTTTTTGATAATTTAATAGTCGTCAAAGATAGTACAAAAACTACGGTCCTATTTTATAATTAAACGCTTAAAAATTGCAACTGATTTAAATTTCTTCTATATTGCGTTGAAATCAGCATACGTAAATTTTTTTACGAAATTGTCAACCACGATTTTAA